TTCTACCATAATTAATCTTTGCTTTAGTTAACTGTCTTAATCACCTGATCAATTATCAGCTTCTTGATACTTTGAGATTGATAACCTTTCATTGAACAAGTCTCACCACTAGATTGGTATGTAATAATATTACGTTTGAAAATGCTATATTAGTGTAGAGCCATTGATGAGGAAATGATTGAAAAGAAATATTTCTTCGATCACATTGTTTGTTTTACTAAATCCGATGTGTCATTCTTAAAATAAATCTAAGGTAATTCAAACCAAATTGAAACTCTGTTCAATTATTTTAGATGAATGAATTGAACAACACTTTCAACCTGTTTTCCATTGACTGTTGAGATAGGTAGACCATGTACAAAGTGTTTCCTTTATTGTTATAAACAGATTGATACCAGTGTTTAGAAACCTGGAAAAGATTAGTTTTTAACAACAATTAATTAACTGTGTCTAGTAATGATGGGCAGTGGCTAGCAGTGGAATCCAGGAGGCGCATTTCGTCCTATATGGGACTCGTCAGCCGGATGTACCTGCTTCCCAGTGAGTGATGTTGTTTCCACTGGGACTCGGTGATCAGTCCCAAATAGGACGAAATGCGCATCCTGGATTCCACTGCTAGCCACTGCCCATCATTACTAAACATAGTTAAAAGACAGGCCATATCGAGGCATCCGCATAGGAGCCCATATGCCAACAGAGGCTGATCAATTCGGTCCAATCAACGACGGCGTAATACAAGCAATAACACTAAATTAATTAACTGATTAAAAATATTTAAAGGTAAATCATATTTGAATTTCTACTAATTAAATCCTTGATATATATTTTGATTCGTCAAGATGTTATAGGGGTGTGTACTACTGAGGACTTGTAGGCTAGAACGAAATAGTTATCTGAGGTTAGTCACTATCTATTCTTAAGATCAAAATAAAAAGTGGTTCAAACGAGAAAAATGCTGATATGTTTCATTATCCTGCCTTATATATTAATTGATGTTGTCTCAGATTTCAAATCTGTCTTCTGATAGATTTTTTTAATTGACTCCTTTCCCATTGGAAAGTTCTATCTAGACAATGAAGGTAAGGATCAGATGAACTTTGAGATCTTATCCAGAATGTAAGCAAACGCCCTCACAACTGTTGCAAACATTCAGACCATAGTTGTTACGAATCTCTCGGAGAAAATTGACTACTCAGTCTGATTTAATCATTATAAGAATATACTCTTCAAATATAATCCCAGAAAGCTTATAAGATCAAAACAAGATATGTGTGAATGTTTCACTGTGTAAGCTACAGCTTCCTCAGCAGAATATATGCATTTCTTTATTAACATCAAATATATATATTTTTAATGAACGTAGGTCATTGGTTCGATGATTAATCATGCTTGTTATTATTATAATATATCAACGATTATAATAAGATAGAAAGTCAAAGTGTGTGTTTGCATATATTGTAGAATACGTGTTGTTTACGTGTTCTTATCCAACATTAATTCATACCTTGTCAATAATGGTCACTGTTATTGTAGCTTCGATTGGAACAAATCATCATTAATAATTTTGTCGGATTAATATTTGCTAGACGACAGGTGAGAAGTCTATTCCCTCTTTTCTCTTTACAACATTTCATGTTGTTAAAATATCCAGGATTTCGGAAGTTAATCTCTCTTCATGTGAATGCAAATCTTTTCCTAATATGTCTACATTCTCAGAGTCAATTATATGTCCACTTTCGATTACATGTGCAGCTGCGTTGTTGATCACTTCTCTAAATTATTTAAATCCTCTTGATTCTTCGATAGATGTTTCATACATAACTCGTGTGTGTTCATTTACCTTAGCTTTCAGGGGTCTACAACATTCTCCAATATAATTGGCTTCACATTACAAACATTGAATTTTGTAGACATAGTTATTCTGTGTCATCTAAGGAATTGTATCTTTCGCTTTGACGATGATCTATTCTAATGAACTTGAATGTTTAAAAGAGACTTTAATTGCAAGTGAGGTGCATACTCTTTCATTCTGTTCAGAAGTACCTTTTGATATGGTGTCGTCATATATGATGTCTATGACTTTGTTGTCCATTTAGTACAAGTAGTAGTAGTAGTAGTTGCTGTACCTAGTGAACAGAGCGAAAAATTTCATAACCGATCCCAATGATTTGAAAAATAAAGAATGTTTTCGTAGAAAATGGTTACCCTAAAACTTTCTTGAACAACATTATCAGTCAAACAAATAAAACAGCAAATACTACTTGTACTAAATGTACAACAAAGTCATAGACATCATATATGACGACACCATATCAAAAAGGTACTTCTGAACAGAATGAAAGAGTATGCACCTCACTTGCAATTAAAGTCTCTTTTAAACCTCCAAGTTCATTAGAATAGATCATCGTCAAAATGAAAGATAAAATTCCTTAGATGACACAGAATAACTATGTCTACAAAATTCAATGTTTGTAATGTGAAGCCAATTATATTGGAGAATGTTGTAGACTAACTGACATTTCTATGAGTAGTAATACATTCCAAGCTACTCAACTGGCTCCTTCACCATTCATAAGTTTTCTACCAGTCGAAGTCGCCCCACGCAAAAATATATTCATTCAAATACAATTAACATCATGATACTGATAAAGCCTCCCTTACTGAAAACTTCTACTCACTTCCTATGTGCATCTACCAGTTCACCTGCTCTTGTGGAGTAAAGTACATCGGCCGTAGCCAGAGAATGCTTTCTACACGTATACGAGAACATGTTCCTGCTTGGTTTTATGAAGGTGAAAGAGAGTCTGTTAGAAGTTCGATTCTAGAATATTTGATTGACTTCCATCACACAACAAATCCAGACGATGACTTTGAAATTATTTATCAAATTCGCCCAAACCTCCCACGTTCCCTTCGTTTTCAACTGCTTAAAACAGCAGAGGCTTTAGCTATTCGTGAACTAAGACCTGATCTGTGTGTACAAAAGAAGTATATGCAGTCACTGTCTTTATCATGGCCATAACATTTTCCCACCCCATTAGCTCCCCCTCCAACTTTGTTAATTTAACCTTTGTATCCTTCCTTTATCACTATTATTGTTATTATAATCGCCTTCACTTTAACTAGTTTCCGGTGTTGTTTCACTTAATTGTCTTAATCCTTTTAGAAAACATTGACTTCATCTTGTCCAACTTGTCTAATGCCGTTACATAATACTCGATTGATTTACCATTTTCAACAATTTTTTCAGCCCCTTCTGAGTTATATACTCTCTATGTACCATTCCATATATATTACATAATCTATTTGTTATCATTCCCACTTCAATTATTATTATAATCACAAATGCCTATGTCATCATCCGCTCTATTATTATTGTCATCATCACCATATAGTGTTTAGTTTTCCTCACAGGATATAATTTTTTCTAAATATCATATATATACGATTGTACAGCTTGAAAATAAATTCGTTGAAAAGAGTCTCTTCGCTGAATATATTGTTCTTGATGTTACAATGGGAATTATCAAATTATTAATGTTGTAGAACCCTTGAAAGTTAGGGTAAATGAACACACACGAGTTATGTATGAAACATCTATCGAGGAACCAAGAGGATTTAAATAATTTAGAGAAGTGATCAACAACGCAACTGTACATGTAATCGAAAGTGGACATATAATTGACTCTGAGAATGTAGACATATTAGGAAAAGATTTGCATTCACATGAAGAGAGATTAACTTCCGAAATCCTGGATATTTTAACAACATGAAATGTTGTAAAGAGAAAAGAGGGAATAGACTTCTCACCTGTCGTCTAGCAAATATTAATCCGACAAAATTATTAATGATGATTTGTTCCAATCGAAGCTACAATAACAGTGACCATTATTGACAAGGTATGAATTAATGTTGGATAAGAACACGTGAACAACACGTATTCTACAATACATGCAAACACACACTTTGACTATCTATCTTATTATAATCGTTGATATATTATAATAATAACAAGCATGATTAATCATCGAACCAATGACCTACGTTCATTAAAAATATATATATATTTGATGTTAATGAAGAAATGCAAATATTCTGCTGAGGAAGCTGTAGCTTACACAGTGAAACATTCACACATATCTTGTTTTGATCTTATAAGCGTTCTGGGATTATATTTGAAGAGTATTTATTCTTCAACTGTAATTTCCATTTATTTTTGAGATGGATTGGGATTTTTAATTTAGAAGTAGTATTCATCATGGACTGACATCAGTTGGGGAACCATTGGAAATCTGAGAGCACTGGACAGCTGTTTCGTCCTAGTATGGGACTCCTCGGCAGTACGCACCCACCACCCGACTAGGGGTCGATCTGTGGGGTCAACCAGTCGGAAGTGAAGTGGATGCTGTCGCGCTATGTCGTGAATTGACAGAAGTTGAAAATTGTGAACCACTGGAAAGCACCAACCCAGTGGCTGAATGGTTAACGCGTTCTCCGTGAGACCTGAAGGTCCTGAGTTCGACCCCCAGCCGGTTCGTGGGTGTGTACTGCTGAGGAGTCCCATACTACGACGAAACAGCTATCCAGTCCTCCCAGACTTTCAATGGTTCCCCAACTGATGTCAATCCATGATGAATACTACTTGTAATTTCGATTGTTTGCAGGGATTCGATTGTGAATGGAAAATATACTACAATTGCACTAGTTTTATTCAAAAGAGTTTGTTGTTACATAAGGGAAGATTGTTTTTGATTGATAATGGTTAGCACTAAAATCTAAGATTGGAGTTTCGTCTCTTCTGGTATTCGTCAACTTTATATACTTCCATCCCAGTGATTTGTAATGCTTCCACTAAGATGTACTAATGTGATAGATCGGTATTATAAAAAAATGCTTTTTGTGAACCAAATTTAAGATTAATTCGGTTAGAAATTCTATAACTTCTACCATTTTAATTTCTTCACCTTATGTACCTATGTATATGTATGTACCTATTGTAGATATTGTCATAGCTGATAGAACACGTCGTTTATCTATACAAATGACATCATCTTTGAATAAGACTGTCAGTAAATCACGTAACAGCATTGCTTTAACAAAATCATGGCCACCGTCGAATAGTACATCGTCATCAAGTTCACGATCATCAAGTAGTAGTAGTAATGATAGCGGTAGCAGCCGTAGTAGTAGTAGCAGTAGTAACAGCAGTAGTAGTAGTAGTAGTAGAAGTAGAAACAGTCGTTCCAGTACCACATCTTTACCTTTAAATCTTCCAACAATCAAGTTGTCAAAGTCAATGCCACACCAGAGTATAGACAATAAAGGTGATCAATATGAAGTGGATGGAAATAACAGCAACAATAATAATAATAATAATAATGAGGATGGTGCAGAAGTACAAACTCATAATATAAATAATTCTTCAAATCCAACCATTCAGTTGAATCAGTCATCATTATCATCGTCACAAACTATCTTTCCTACACGCTTATTTATCTGTGATCCAGAAGAATCAATTTTCAAAGCATTACGATTATTACTAAGATTTCGATTGCATCATTTACCTGTTATGGATTCACCATTCAATGGAAGTGGTAATATTTTATACATACTTACTCAAAGACGATTATTGGCTTATGTCTTTGAAAAATTGGATAAATTACCTCAACCAAGATTTCTACAGGTTAGTTAGCTTCTTTTCGATTATACACTTTGTTTATCATTTTGACTATTTGTGATAACCTCATGGTTTGACAGACTGGTATTGTTACTGAGTGGTGACTTGAAATGAAATGAAAACTTAGACCGCAATCGGATTCGAATCAGTGACCACCGGGTGTCCTACCCGATGATCTACTAATTGAGCTACAAGTTCCAGCTGTGGTCTAAATTTGGACCTTGTAGCTCAGTTGATACAGCATCACACCGGAAACCCAGTGGACCCTAGTTCGAATCCGATCCCGGTGGAAATTTTCACTTCACTTTCGATCATCACCCAGTATCTATTCATTTAAGAATTAAAAATACTTTGCTTTGAAAAATGTCAATCAGAGGACTAAATCTTATAGAATAGATGAACTATAACTCGCATACCTCAGAGACACAGTCCGGTTGGAATAAGGCGGGGAAGTAAATTCAGTATGTGTGATTTCCTAGGACTTTTGATCATATTTCTTTTCTCCTCATCTGTCTATATTTCATTTTGCTATATTATGTCTTGATATACCGACATGAGATGTAGTCACTCAGATTAAGGAGTAGTAATGGTAAGTGTGATCATTTTCACTAACTGACTGACAGACTGACTGACTTGTAGAAGTAGGTGCCTGTTACCGTCAGTATTTCATTCAATACCTCGTATATGTCTCATACTTCCCATGCTGATGTTAGGTGATAGATAGACAGAGAGATAGACAGACACAATCAATGTAGAACCTCAAATACATCACTGCGACTTGTTACACTTCACAGTAGTACACAAAGAACAAGCGGATAGGAAAGGATCGATATCAAAGTAGACATAGTTGTGTGAGAGAATAAACAGTTTGAAGATAAAGTTCAATGTAACAGAAGATACTAAAGAGTGAATAAATCTGCGCCACCATTCTAGCCGATTTCCAGTAATGTCACCAATAGTTCTCAACCACTGATTCCTATCTGTTCCAGGACCCCAGTCAGGTAGTTCATCGACTTGTATCACATTTTGGTCTGATCACTATGATTCCTCTTCTAATTCGATCCAATTTTCTTTAGCATGGGACGTCGAGGTAGGTAGTTGCTCGGCATGCACAGTATATGTGAAAGCTATCTTAGTCGACTAACTTTCACAACATCATCAATAGACTTGTCTATCTAATTAGATAGCAATAAACAAGACATAACCTTTGAATAATTTGTTCAGTTAAAAGTGATACTTGTTTATGCTTACATATAGTGTTTTTACTTTTTTAATCAAAAATAAAATATTGTACTTTTTATCGAAAGCTTGTATGTATATATTACTGTTATCCTATGACTTATTGGCTTAGGTAGCTGATTTAAAACTCTTGGATAATGGGTTTGAACCCCATTCCACTTGCAGACATTTGAGCAGTTAAAAGAAGTATAATTAGCTCTCTCACATAATAAGTGTGGCTTATTGCTTACTGTACAAGGTAGCTGAGTACATTTCGATTGGATTCAATATATACTCCTGCATTATACATTTACTGTGATGAATGAAAATCTATCGCTTCCAATTATTATTAGTATTACTTTTTTCCCTTGGGTTCTTAGTGGAACATAGGACTTCAGTACCACGTCACCATTTCACTCTCTTTTCTACAGTCATTTTAACCTGGCGCCACGACTACCTGCAAGCTTTCATTTCTTCCTCACACCATCTCCTCCATGTCACCCTAGCCTCGGATGCCCAACTCGTTGTTTCTCCTTTGGATTCTCCTCGACGGCCTTGCCTGCCTCGTAACGTCCACAAATAGTCTTCTCAGTGTAAGCCCAATCCATCTCCACTTTCTTCTGCATATTTCGTTGCTTCTTTGCTAGAGTACCTTGTTGCTAATTCTTATTCGTCTGGTCATCTATCTCATCTTCAGTGTCAGTATCGAGTGAACGTGGTCAGCAGCTGTCGATGTATGTCTCCAGTTGTTTGTTGGAAATGCTTTCCCTAACGCACCACCAAGTCTCTCAATCATCACATAGAAGCACTGACTTGACTGATATCAGTATTGAAAATCCAGATATTGTTCACACATTATGCTGAGTGCAGTAGATCTCCACACTGATTATTATTTCAGATCAATGAAGCAAGGCGTGTCTTGCTGTTAATCCAATCCTGTCTTTGACATCCTCGTCTGTGCCACCGCCACCACCTGTAGTAGAAACGATGCTACCTTGCTGAGATAATCAGGTGGATGAGACAACCTGCTTCAGATTTCTCCCCTTCATGGTGATTAGTGCTTGTTGTTGTTGTTGGCGGTGTTGTTGATGTTGATGTTGTTGTTGGTGGTGGTGGTGGTGGTTGGGTATCTTCATCACCATTGTCTTATCGACTTTCACCTGAAGTCCCATCATCGCTGCTCTGCCTCACCTCTCCTACCAACTTCCTAGTTCTCACCTTGACATCTTCGAGTTCGTGTGACAAGACATTAGACATAAGTCATCATCATCGTCGGTGGCGGCGGCGGCGGCGAAATCCAAATCTTCCTCTTCAGTCTTTTCATCGGTCAACACAGCGTATGCCCATCTCATCACTCCTCACAGTTGTCTGTTGCATGATCTAGTCTAGTCTAGTCCAGTCCAGTCGAGTGCAGTGTAGTCGACCACAATCAGAGAGATGATCGGTGATAGTAGGCGTCAACCTTGTCTTACTCCTCCTGTCTCCTGTCCTCACTTCAAAGGCGTCACTCAGTTTTCCATTGTCAATCACCAGACATGTAGCATAGCATATAGCATAGCATATAGCTGCTGTTGAATGATGTTGATAAAGGTTTGTGTCACTAGAACGGTAGTGTTGAAGCAGTTTGCGAATGACTTCTCGGTCGACGCTATCGAAGGTCTTTTCAAAGTTGATGTAGTTGAAGTTGATTCGACTGGCATTCAGTGCTGTGCTCTATGATGATGCGTAGCCTTGTGAGTCAATCTACATTAGTCATTATACACCTGAGATAGACAGTCAATGACTTCATAGATTCATTCTGTGTCATCTTTTGGTCACTTTTAGTCCAAGCTTTACACATATTATATATATTGTTAACATATATTGACGTCTTCTAAATCTTGAATGTTTTGGTTAACCTTAGTTCTTATTTTCTCTTTTCTCCTTTATACCTTTGCTTCCTTTTGTATCAATATTCCCTGTCCCCATACTTTTGTCGACCACTTCACTCACTCAAGGAGTTGCATCAGCCCGCAAACGAGCTGGTTGGTGACGAATTCGCAGCTAGGACATATAAGGCCTGTTTAGCATTTGCCAACTGTGGCACCGACTAGCAAGATATTCGACTACCTATTACAGAACGAGTATACCGCACTGTAGTTTGTACTATCCTGTTATACAGCTGCAAGTTATGGGCATTAAAGGTAGAAGACATCGACTAGAATGGCTTGGACATTTACTGCGCATGCCAAGCCAACACCAAAGTTGAAGTATCATGCTAGAGAATCTCAATTAGGTTGAAAAACTGTTCATGGTGGCTGGACCAAAATGTGGCATCAGTCGATAAAGTCGCTTACTGTTAGTCTGGGCTGTTTAGAGAGATGTATACTGTCTGGTTGGCATCCTCAAGACGATAATAATCAGTGGTGACAATAGCACAGACGTATTCATTCCTTGACATCTATAGCTTGAACATTTGCACTACTTTGATATCATTCTTATTCCAGTCACCTATTCTTTGTGTACTATTATGAAGTATGACAAATTGGGAGGGATGTATTTGTGTGTAAAGTTCTACGTTGATTTTGTCTACTTATATGTCTCTTAATCAATTCCATCTGATGTTAGACAACAATAAAGACTTTAATTTATTTTGCTTTCTTTCTTTTACTTTTCTTTTAAATAAATAGTCAAGCATAATAGATCTTAAGATTGGAACACATGGATCTGTATTTCTGATTACACCGTCTACTCGATTAGCTGATGCTTTAATATTATTTCGAGATAATTATATAACTACTCTACCAGTTGTAGATTCATTGACCAATCGTCGTCTAATAAATATCTTTTCTAAATTTGATGCATTCGTAAGTATAACTGATTTATTTGTTAATTATTATTATTATTTTCTAAAATAATAAAAATTTCTATATGAATTTGATGATATATGCTTGTTGATGGTTAATAGTTGAATCCAGGACTGATATTTCGTCTGATTTCAGCATCATCAATTAGGTGTACTTGAATCCAAGTAAATGGTTGTTTCCACTGAAATCTGTACCAAATATTCATCATAGCTTGAAACTCTAGAGCGTTAATCAATGATATCATAAAGTATCTTATAGGACAGTAAGATAACATCAAGACATTTATTCAAGGAGCTTATATGTAAGTTCATTATGTATGTTCATTAGCCTGAAACCAGTGTGGAGATCTAATGCACTCAGCCTACAATGTGAACAACATCCGGATTTTCAACATCAACGCCAGTCAAGTCAGTGCTTCTGTATGGTTCAGAGACTTGGCGCGTTACAAAAGGCATTTCCAATAAACTACAGACATTCATCAACAACTGCCTACACTGACTCGTTACTGAAGATCAGATGGATTGCCAGAAAGCATAAGAATAAACAACAAGGAGCTCTGGGAACGAACCAACGAAGCAAGAAGCTATCTCTGAACAAATATGCAGTTGAAGGAAGTGGAGATGGATTGGACTGGGCATACACTGAGAAGACCGACTGGGGGCATCACGCATCAGGCCAGTTGCTCGAGTGGAATCCCCATGGGAAGTGACGAGTTGGGCGTCCCAGGTGAGGGTGACATGGAGGAGATCGTGCGAGGAGGAAATGAGAGCTTCTGGGTTGTCGTGGAGCCAGGTTCAAAAGATTTCGGCGAACAGAGTTCACTGGAGACGTGCTACTGAAGCCCTATGTTCCATTAGGGCCGCAAGGGACTAATAATAGTAGTAATAATAATAATATTATGTAAGTAGTAATCGATCAATTCGGGGGATGGGGAGTGTCAAAATAAATCTTATTTGACTGCTGTAACATTGTAAGAAATATTAGGTACATAGAGAATAGGATATTTTTTTAATGATAACAATCTATTAAATAGGCTTGTCATTTTAAAAGATGATTGAAATAGGTTTATCGTATTGTTGTTAATGTTTACTAATTTTATCATATCTTTGCCTTTTTTTTTATCTCTTATCTACTTCCTATTCAATATACTGATTTACAGTATGCCAACTTGAAGCAGTATGTAATTATGCTAGATTCTACATATTTTATGACTATGACCATTGAAATACTAAACTGTAATAACTTAACATTGAAAAAAAATACCCCATTTTACATTCGAATTGAAAGTTTTCAGCTATCCAACTTCCAATATAACACTTTACCAACTGAATAAAGATACCTTATTGTTGAAAAGGTCTCACTTTAACTTTATTAAATTGATAGTTTCGATCAACTACAACTTGATATTTCAATTCATTATGGATATACAAAGCTTTGTAATGTGCCTAGTAAGTACATCACCTTATTGAAAGCTCTCTACTCGAACACTTGTGGGCATGTTAGAGCCTATGGCGAGTTGTCCAGGGAGCTATACTCATCAACTGGTGTCCGTCAAGGATGCCCACTATCCCCATTCTTATTTAATTTTATCATAGATATTCTTATGGAGGTTTGCCTCTCCTCACCTTATTACACAGACGTTGACCCGATCACAGGTGAATTTTCTTTAGATCTAGAATATGCAGATGACATAGTCCTGTTAGGTGAAGACGCTGACTGATGAGATGCAGAGTCTTCTGAACACTTTGAGTGGGAATTTGAGAATGTTTCGGATGCGTTTCTCACCACCCAAATGCAAATTTTTGCTCCAGGACTGGTCTTCAGCGGTGCCCCACCGCGGCTAACAATAGAGAGTGAAGTGGTTGAGTGTGTTGATCACTTCACTTACATGGGAAGTAGGATCAACCCAGGTGGGTTAGTTGTCGATTAGATTTCTGCACGGATACAAAAGGCTCGATTGGCCTTTGCCAATTTCCGCCACCTATGGCACCGCCGTGATATTCGTTTGTCTATTAAGGGTCGCGTGTACTGCACAGCAGTCCGCTCTGTTCTACTATATGGCTGTGAAACATGGCCATTGAAAGTGGAGGATACAAAAAGGCTTCAGGTGTTTGACCACCGTTGCCTTCGTAATATAGGACGTATTCCGTGGTGTCACCATGTGAGTAATGCAGAAGTCAGGTGTAGAGTTTTGAAGAGAAGAGGTAAGTCAGTCGACGAGGTTGTGAACCTTCATCGACTGAGATGGTTGGGACACGTACTACGTATGCCTGCCTAGTCACCGATTGCCTCGTCACACAATGTTGGCTGAGGTGGGTCCAGGCTGGAAGAAGGCACGAGGTGGCCAGACTAAAACATGGCACCAATATATGAGGTCTCTGACTGTTGGTTTAAGTCATGTAGGACGATGCAGACTAGGTGGTTGGGGTCCACGGGACAAGAGGAACCAGTGGTTGGAGACTCTAGGTGATATGGCTCAGAACCGAAGTCAGTGGCGCAGATGTATACACACATTATCCTCATCTTAACAACACCATACCGAATCTCACTATTTTGTCACTCCTCTTTCCTTTCTTCTCGTACTTTATATTTCTTTTGACTGCATTCACTTATCTTCATCCTTCGCCTCACTACCTTTTTACTTGATGTGCTGATATGAGGTGTGGCAACTCGGACCGTTACGCAGTAATGCCTGGTCCTATGTTGATAATGATGATGATGACTTTCATTCACTTCACTAAACATTTTCACTCTGAAGGGAAGTGTATTTTGATAATATTCAGTGTACAACAGATTAGGATACAATAAAGAAAAAAAGTACCATAAATGTTTGTGTTCACTTGATCTTAAGCTTTTCTTTAATGATAATCAAAGTTAAATGATTACTATTGAGTGATGATTAGAGGTGGAATGAAAAATTAGGCCGTAACCGGTTTCGAACCAATGACCTCTGAGTCACCGACTTGAAGTTCTATCAACTAAGCTATGCGATTCAATTTCTTCAAATATTGAGAGTTTTGTCTAGCTGTCAGGTATATATTCCAGATGCATCACTATCCGTTAATCGTAAACACTCTGTCTATTTCATGTAAATGTGCATCCATCTGAATTAGACATGATAAGCATCTCATTGATTGTCAATCAGGCTATCTGAGAAACGAAATGGCTTGTACTACTAATTTCCATCCGGTTACACTATACATTATCATACGTTTAGTGGGTAATTTTAAGATATTTGGAGGTGATGGATGTTATTTTCGAGTTCTAGTAGAAAAATCATTACCTGCTGGAATGCACGTGGACTTAGCTAACGAGTCTCATATAGGATGAATCACCTGTTTTAGATTCCATTACTAACTAACAAATAAGATCAGAATGAAACTTAAGGCAATCTTTAGGCATCTGTTCAAGTGTCCAATATACCAATGGAGACTGATCAATTTTGTTTCAGTAAAATAATTAATGTCAAATAACTTGTATTAATAAATTTCTCTACTTTATTCAAAACATTGAGAAATTATATAAGGGAGAATGAATGAGAAAATAAACCTGAAACTGAATTACTCTTCTACTGTAGCATTGAGAAAATGGAAACATTTTATTGATTAGTCTGTTTATCATCAACTTTGTTATTGTTTGTACTGTTTATTTGTTTCATACAGAATTATTTTCATTGTTGTATAAATTTTTATTGATTACCTTGTTTGTTGACAAAAATATATGGAAACCGAACAGTAACTCATTATACTGGTGAAACGATATCCGAATATCTTCATCATGAACTAGCATCAATTGAAGAGGTATTCATTAGTTGAGAGCGTACTGGACAGCTGTTTTTATTCTATTCTAGGACGTCTTTAGTTGTACACACCTACAACCCTCTAGGGAACTCAGCTGAAGACCATCAGATCTAACTTTGAACAATGGGTTGAAGTTAAATGACTCGTTTTTTTTTCTGTACTTTTATTGATTGATGATATACCACAACTAACGTCCACTTTCATTACTAAGTAGCTGAATTCTTCACTCTCTCTATCTCCCTCTATCTTACTTTTTGGACATCAGTGTAAACTTCCTTCACTGCCTACAAGCTATTTGTCTCATGACAATAAGGACTTGTTTATAATCAATCTTGAATTCATTTTAAGCTCTTTTATATACGCTATCAACTATATAAACAACACCTGAGTTTTTGTACATAAAAGTGTCTAGTATTACGACCACTATTACTGTTATTACAAGTGACTTAATTATAGCTAGCAGTGGAATCCAGCATGCGTGTTTCTTTCATTTTGGCGGCTCGTCAGGTGGATGTACAAGAACTTGTATGAACCCTTATCTATATACATGTGTCTGTTTTTACCAGTAGAATAGATTCATTACTTTCTAACTAAATTACTGATGAGACCTAATAGTTTGGTGACGAAATATCTATAGAAATGTGACCTGAAAATACTGAGTAACAGTTCAGATTGTTACACTTCACATGGTCACATCAAAACATACTAGTCATCTAGGTAAAACATAAAGAAATGTGGCAATAAATCTAATCAGTGGAGGGGGAAAAGGTAAACAATATTGGTAAAATGTCACTTGATTACGATTTTGGCTATCAGTGAGGTCCCAATAGCTAAGTTTATATTTATCAGCACATCTCAGGCCAACAGCTAAAGTCTTCATGAATTGATACCGTTTTTTAATCGAACCATTTTTAAGCTGTATCCAATATGAGGAAGCTTGATTACATTTGAATGCTGTTAGAACATCAAAACACTTGTCATCATTCTCTGCCTTATTAACGAATTCCCTCTCTTAGTGCTTAGAATACAAGAAGAAATGTTAATTGGATAAGGGCTGTTGTTAGAAAGCCCTCCTCCATCTAGGTTTCAAGCTTTTCGCCAACTGATAGCAAGGCGTGTCGGCAACCTTGACGGAACTGATGTCCCACCTGACAGTTGAACTCACATCACTGAATCTTGGCTAGGATAGCTCGGTGGCAAACTCTCTGATTACGGTACTGGGTTGGCGCATGTTCGAACCTCAGGTAAGACATTAGTTCCATTGAGGGTGCAGATACTCCCTGCTAATAAGTGCCAAAAAGCCAGAAACCTAGGTTCAAAGCTTCCATCTGATCGCCTCCATCCAACTAACATCTAAGAATGCTTAGAGTATGACATTCGCCAGGAGAGGGGACTGTTATTTGAGAGCGTGCCATGACCGACGTCTGTTCTGAATGCCAATTTCCTGCATACAATGGGATAATGGTCAAGATTAAATGATCTACAGTGTATTTCTGTCAAGAAAAACCAACACACACAGGCATGCCCACTCAACATTACTTACGTCAATCAGCTACTGTAGGGATTAGAAGTTCACGTGTTATTACTGAAATAATCTATTCACTTAAGCTAAAGTAGAGAAAAGTATGGTGCGAGGAAAAAATAAAGGTTAACAGTGAAACAGCTTGCACTAATCACATTTACATAATAAATAATGAAGCCTTATACAATAATGTGTTAGTACACAAACAACAAAGAGAAACTTACAAAGTTTAACGTTATGTTTACATGTGACAAATGACAGAAAATCTGATGTAACATTTGTGTTTGTAACGTTTTATTGTGTTGTTTCTACTATATTTTTAGTGCTTTGTCCAACTTTTTGTTTGCATTTTTGTGATGGTGGACGCTTTAATCATGTTGAGGGTAACTGACAAAACAGCTGTGGTATTTACCATAGACTGATGTCAGTTGGAGAAACAATGGAAGCGCTCGACAGCTGTTTCATCGTAATACGGGACTACTCATCAGTGAGTACATGCGACCATGCCCTACTAGGAATTCAGCCGAGGACCCTCAGGTTCCAAGGCCAGCACGTTACGATTGAGTTCCTGGGTCGGTATCCTTAGTGACTTGCTTCGCGATGAGATTTTCGAAGTTCTAAAGAGAAGCTGTCACCGGGGGGACTGACCAAGTCGAACATGAGGATAGTTACTTAACGATGGGATTGGATGGAGGTTACGCAATGTCGTGAACTGACAGAAGTAGGAAATGTGGACCGTCGTATTCCAAGCCAGTGGCTCAGTTTTAGTGTGTTGGTTGGGGGACCCGAAGGTCATGGGCGCGATCCCTGATGGGGTCATGGGTGTGCACTTCTGAGGACTCGCATATCAGGACGAAACAGATGTCCATTCTTGCCTGATTCTTAATGCTTCTCCAATTGATGTCAGTCCATGACAAATATCAACCTGAAATCCCTACAAAACACCAAAGGGAACAAAAGGCAATGTTTACAAGTTGTTGTTTTTTCCCAGTAAGATAACGAGGCTAAATGATATAAAAATTTTCTGCAAATGTTAAGTGATTGGTGGCAATCGGTGGGTGGTCATGAACTAACTCATCAGCAAAAAGAATGTGAAATTTTCATAAGACTTATGCTTCATTTTTAATTACTTTTGTCTACCATTCGCGTTATGGAATTTGGTGGGCAGCAAAGACTGTTCATTTAATCCAAACGAGTAACATTAGAAGTCATTATTATATTATTATTTGTCCTTTGGGTTCCTAGTGAAAGATACGGCTTCAGTACCACATCACCATTTCACTCTTTTTTTTGCAGTCTCTTCAACCTGGCTCCACCACTGCCCACAACCTTTCATTTCTTCCTCACACCATCTCCTCCATGTTATCCTCAGCCAAACTACTCGTCGTTCCCCATCTGGCTTACAATAGACGGCCTGGCCTTGCCTGACGCCTGACGTCCTCAAACCGTCTTCTCAGTGTATTTCCAATCAAATCAAATCCATCTCCACTTTCTTCAGAATACTTGTTGGGGGATGGGTTGTTGGTTGGTTTATTGACAGCCAGCCACAGTGAGTTCATTCCTGCTTATTCTCATTAGTTTGGTCATCTATCTCATCTTCAGTGTCAGTATCGAGTGAACGTGGTCAGCAGCTGTTGATGTATGTCTCCAGTTGTTTGTTGGAAATGCTTTCCCTAACGCACCACCAAGTCTCTCAATCATCACATAGAAGCACTGACTTGACTGATATCAGTATTGAAAATCCAGATATTGTTCACGCTTTATGCTGAGTGCAGTAGATCTCCACACTGATTATTATTTCAGATCAATGAAGGAAGGTGTGTCTTGCTGTTAATCCAATCCTGTCTTTGACATCCTCGTCTGTGCCACCGCCACCACCTGTAGTAGAAACGATGCTACCTTGCTGAGATAATCAGGTGGATGAGACAACCTGCTTCAGATTTCTCCCCTTCATGGTGATTAGTGCTTGTTGTTGTTGTTGGCGGTGTTGTTGATGTTGATGTTGTTGTTGTTGGTGGTGGTGGTGGTTGGGTATCTTCATCACCATTGTCTTATCGACTTTCACCTGATGTCCCATCATCGCTGCTCTGCCTCACCTCTCCTACCAACTTCTCAGTTCTCACCTTGACATCTTCGAGTTTGTGTGACAAGACATTAGACATAAGTCATCATCATCGTCGGTGGCGGTGGCGGCGGCGAAATCCAAATCTTCCTCTTCAGTCTTTTCATCGGTCAACACAGCGTATGCCCATCTCATCACTCCTCACAGTTGTCTGTTGCATGATCTAGTCTAGTCTAGTCTAGTCCAGTCTAGTCCAGTCCAATCCAGTCCAGTGCAGTGTAGTCGACCACAATCAGAGAGATGATCGGTGATAGTAGGCGTCAACCTTGTCTTACTCCTCCTGTCTCCTGTCCTCACTTCAAAGGCGTCACTCAGTTTTCCATTGTCAATCACTAGACATGTGGTCTCATCATGTAGCATAGCATATAGCTGGTGTTGAATGATGTTGATAAAGGTTTGTGTCACTAGAACGGTAGTGTTGAAGCAGTTTGCGAATGACTTCTCGGTCGACGCTATCGAAGGTCTTTTCAAAGTGGGTGAAGTTGAGGTTGACTTGAGTTGACTGCCATTCTATATTCTGTTCCATGCTGATGCGTAGCGTTGCAATTTGATCCATACATTGTTTGTTTTTTCTGAAACCAGCCAGCCTGTTCCGGTCGCAATTTTGAATCCAGAGCATTTTTAAGTCTCTCCAGGATGATGCTGCATAATATTTTGCTTTGTGTGAACAGCAGCATGATTCCGCACCAGTTTTTGCAAAAGCTTTGGTCACCCATATGGTAAATACTTACACTTCTTGTTTGAATTTTTTACGGACAGGATCAGTCTGTCTCAACCCTCCATTGGGAAGAGTTGTTAAATTAATTCAGCTCAGCTAACAAACAACTACCGATATAAGTGAAGTTATTTTTTTTAGGTTGTATCCATCATAGACTGACATCGGTTAAGAAACCATTGGGAACTTGGAATATGCACCGAGGCTTCCATTTGGCATCCGTTTCTATTCTGATTAGTTGATCACATTGGTCATGGCTTTTCACTAGAACTTCGAAATATCCATCTCAAAGAATGTCACTAATGTGGGCTGTATACTAATGTGACCCAAGATTTGTGGGAATTTAATTTCTTTTAAGGGAATATTCATCATGGAGTGACATCAGTTGGGAAAGTACTAACAACTGTATAGGGCTCAGTAGTACGCCTCCATTACCCCACCAGGGGTCGAACTCAGGTTTGACTGACTGAATATAAACTAATTGAAGATTCAAGGACTGATGTACTTTTTAAACAAACTATAATCTTAAATTTCACTGAATAAGAATACACTGTTTATGTATTGAGACTGAAATTTGAGAACAACATTGCTTATAACCATCATTTAATTTCTGCTAATTTGTCTAGAATGTTCTTTCTATCTTTGTATAAATAGTTAACCTTTGAGTAATCTTGACTTGTATACCTTATTTTTTTTGTACTGAGCCTTATATTCTTTAAGTTACAAAGTAGCTGATATGCTTGACACTGTATGGTATATTTCTGAAAGACTAGAATTATTGAGTTTTGGTTCATTAGCTCAGGGAATTGATTTCCAGTCAGTCAGTTATAGGTTCAAATACCGTTTGACTTGTTGAGGTTGAGTAGATAGAAAATATCATTAACACTCATACAATGGGTATTTGGCTTATTGTTTAGTGTATGAACGTGCATAAAGTTTTGATTTCAAGATTCGATGCCTTGTTTTTCAATGAAAATACTTTTATGCAGTGTGTTTATGTGTTTTCATTGTTTTCTGTTGGGTTTTTTTATTTTCTATATAACAGACGCTTATCTTGAATGGAGCATATAAAAATCCTGACATGACTATTCAAGAGGTACTTGAGATATGTAAAGTAAGTTTACAGCTTATAACGAAGAATTTCTTTTAATTAAAAGTATTATACAATATTCATTTTCTGTTTTATAGGTCCACTATCTTAGAGTTGTTAAAAGAAACTGTATTTCTAACGGTATATGCTAAGAGCGAATGAGTATAAAGGCTTAAGACTTAATTCCCAGTTTAATAACACTCGTTTGAAGGAACTGCTTTGGTTACACTATATAACTAACTCCTGTAGAGCAAGTAAACCTAGTGGACATACATTAATGTAGCTTAAAGGATTAGCTTCTCCTTGATACAGAGAAATCGATAACTGGTCATGGAAGATTATCCTAAGTTCATCGCAAAAGAATTTCTTCCTAGCGATATGGACAGTTGATATCTATAAATAAGGTTCTATTCAAGACTGAGGGAGTTTTCTCAGCATGTTACCTAGCTAATCCCCAATAACCTGGAGAGATACCCATTTCTCAATAGTGCTTGTTTAAGTCTTTCCAGTTTATCTTCAATTGTGTCATTTTTATAGATCTTTCCAATTCCTGATGAAAAAGTGTAAAATTAGATATTTTATTTTTATTTTTCTATCCATTGAAGTTCAGTTTCGGAAATATATATTCTAAACATTTTGTATCAATTTCTTGTAGACCGATATCTAAAAAGAATAGTTTAACCTTTCTTTTCAGTAAAATATTCAAAAAATAAAATCCCAAGTTGAATTTGTTTCAAAATTTAGGGTCTGTTGCATTTCAACATACAACGATTGTGAATGCAGATAATTGACTACTACTATTCAATGTAATACTAACATCCTTTAATGTTATTGACTAATACTGATCTCTACCAATGACATTTATTACTTTATGGACAATAGTCTGTTTTAAGAAATTCAAGTATTCCATCTTTTTATGAACTCATAAATTGGCTAACAGCATTTACTAGGTTGATTATTTCAGATAGAACTATGGTTTAGTAGACCTGTATTGATACTGGATGATGATGATTTGATATGCTGCAGTATAATTCGAAATGTCTATCACTGGATTTACACCCCACTATTATACTAACTTAGTGATGAAACCTGACTGTTAATCATATTAATTGGTAGGGCACTGAACAGAAAACTTAAAGGAAGTCAGTTTCATTTCATCTTTATTCACCATCCAGTATAAATAACAGTTAAACAAAATTCTTCTTGAAAATAGAATTTTAAAATTGCTTGAAGAAGTGTTTTGATGAATAAATAAGACTTTGGGGTCAACGATATTTGTATTTCTAATGTTTAGGTTAAACGACTATAGTGATTAGTCTTTCCTAGTTGATGTTCTTTGTATACATAGGTATCAGTAAGTTAAAAATTGAGTTTGAGGTCCACATTTCCGTGCGAATAGTAAACAGGATACAAGTTCATTCATTCAAAGAATTACTAGTGAGGAGAAACTTTCATCTTGGATTTCATTGCTACCCATTACTCAATATAATTAAAGAAGGATACTACTTCAATTTCAATTCTTTTATAGCAGAAATAATTAAACTAGAATGCCTTTTTGTGACATAAGTAGGAAAGGTGAACTATGCGGGTTCTGATCCAGTAACTATATAATAGTGTGCTTACCATGAAACTTAATGGTTTCAGGTTCGATACCCTCTCGAAGGTTATGGAATCTTAAACTAGGACAAAGTAGCTATCGAGTCCCAACAGATTTTCAATAGTTTTCCAACTGGTGTGGTGCGGTGGTAAAAACTACTTTGTTATAATTTTTTAAAATTATTATACATAGAAAATAAAAATTGTTTATCTTTTCTATTTACGTCTAGGGGAACGCTAAACCTACTAACGATATGCATAGTAAGCCGCCTGTTGCAATATGTCTAGCGTCAAATAATTTGCTATATGTTATAGAGAAATTAGTTAAAACTGGAGTAAGTTATTTATTCCTTGATAAACCTTTTCATTTTGACATCGTTCATGAAAAATGCTATTCTAATATGGTAGTAGTGTAGTGGGCGTTGCTGATAACAACGGATATAAGTAGTATGTATCGAGAGGATGGCAGGAATCATAGGGAATTGCCGGCAATGGGTAAGGTTTCTGCCAAGAGCAAAGCAGGGGACAACACAGACCTATTACAGGGGATGCTGCTGATAAGAGTGTATGAAGAGCCGGTCAAGAGCAAATCAAGACAGGAACGGAGAGGAAACGAAGATAGTTGCAAATGGCTGCGTTACTGCAAGGAGTACCATATGTAACCACTACCATTCCAATTGTTCGTATAGTTGTCTTCTGTTTCTTCTCCATATTCCAATGACAGTCGACTAATTACATGCAGAACAGTGATGGACAGTTAACTGTTGGTTATAATTCATGTTCTTTAAATAAGGGGGTTTATTTCATAGAGACTGTCCGACAGAACAGATGATGTGAGTGGATCAGTTCGGTCGAAAATAATGATACTGAATTCATTCGAACAGTCTTACTGATCAGTAATGTTCTGTCTGGCTAGTCCTTTTTAACCTCCATAGCCTACAGGAACATCCAAAAGCCAAAAGTGGTCTGTGTATGCAAGAAATACTTTTATTGGGTGTAACTACCTCACCAGTATATGCATTTCGAGTATCTGAAAAAACCGCAGTTTGGTAGACTAGTACTGATACTGGATGGTGAGTGAAAGTGAAATGAAAATTCGAACCACGGCCGGATTCGAACGACCAACCATTGGGTTTACCGTCCTATGCTCTACCAACTGAGCTACGAGGTCCAACTACTGACCAGAATTTTATTTCACTTGAATCACCAAGTATCAATATTAGTCTGCCAAACCACAGCTATCTCAGATAGTCAAAGTGATAATCAATATGATGCTCCACCTACTCCCTAATTCATTTCGATTGGGTTGAGAAATCCTGATTAGGCAACCAGTGTAAATACGACCAAGTGATAGTAACACGTCACGAATTCGCATTGTGGTCAGGTACACCCCATGGTGATTGAAGCGAAATAAAAATCTGTTCAGCAGTCGGACTTCATAACTGACTTATTAGAGCATTGGGCCAGGAAGCCGGTGGTAGCTGGTTCAAATTTTTATTTCACCTTCAATTATCACCCAGTGCTAATACTGTCTTGTCTATGATTGGCAAGATCGTCATTTACTCTCAGTTATTTGTAAATACACAATTGTCATTTCTGAATGATATTTTACACAAATTTACGTCATTTTAGAGACATAGGTTCCTTCAAGATTGAAGATATACCCTACTAATGAGTCTTGAGAAGTGCGAAACTTGGGTCAAAGGCTTTCCGTTCACTTTTTCTTGCTATATAAGACTTTTCTTTATATTCTGATTATATTTCAATCATTAATGAGCTCATTTAAAATCAGTCCTTCTGTATACTTTCGTCTACCTTTATATCGTTTTTTTTCAGCTACTTGTTCTCTACAGGCAGCTATGAAGTGCTCAATGTTCTCTTTGAATTTGTTTGTCAGTATGTTTGAGCATAATATTTAGTAAGGAAAAGAATGTGTTAAGAAAGGCTAAGTATCTAATAATGGATAGTGGCTAGTATTGGAATGTAAAACAAGCGTTTCAGGGAATCCGAATACTAGTCTATATCTTAATAGTAGCCGATCATTTCAGTCGAATTAATGACAGAAAATTACAAGCTATAATAAGCAGACTGTGAATGTTGCAAATGAAGTGACTGATGTGACTTAGTGACCTAGGGAATAAAGCTCTGTTTTCTCAAGCAACTGGTACTGAGTTCATGTTTTAGCGGGGAGAACATCACTCACTGATGTGAAGGTACATTCAGCTGACGAGTCTTAAATAGAACGAAACGGGGGTGATCAATCCCACGTTACTAGACACTATCTATCATTAACATAAAACTAAAAGTACTGGCAATATTAAGACACTCCTCCAGGAATCCATATAACAATAGTGCTCGACCAACTCGTTCTAACCAACGACTGAAAATTATGAGCTATAACATGGAAAGCTAGGAACATATTATACGTAATCAAATAAACATACTTTATGAATGGATAATTGACAGTTCTTCATGACACGCAGTAAGCTTTGCTAAAAATATGTATTCGTTGATTTAGACACTATAATTATTATCATTATTTAACGCTTGGGTTCCTAGTGGAACATAGAGCTTCAGTAGCACGTCTCCATTCCACTCTCTTCTCTGCAATCTTTTCAACCTGCCTCCACCACTGCCCACAAGCTCTCATTTCTTTCTCACACAATCTCCTCTGTCAACGTCTGACTCCCAACACGTCCTTTCCCATTCGAGTTCCACTCGACGATCTGGTCTGGCACGTGATGTCCCCAGCCGGCCTTCTCAGTACATGCCCAATCCATCTCCACTTTCTCCCAGTGTATATTTGTTGAGTGATAGTTTCTTGGCTGGTTCGTTACCAGGTCAGCCAGAGTTGCTTGTTGCTCATTCTTTCTGGCTATCTATCTGAGCTTCAGTAACGAGCCAGCGTAGGCAGCTGTTGATGAATATCTGTAGTTTGTTGTAAATGCTTTTCGTAACACACCGCCAAGTCTCTGTACCATACACAAGCACTGACTTGACTGGCGTTGGTGTTGAAAATCCGGATCTTGTTCACATTGTAGGCTGAGTGCATTAGATCTCCACACTGGTTTCAGGCTAATGAACGCCTGTCTTGCTTTTCCGATTCTGACTTTGACATCCTCGTCTGTGCCGCCACCTGTGATTGAAACAGTCCTACCTAGATAGGTGAAGGAGGCTACTTCCTTCAAGTTTCTCCCGTTGATGGTGATTGGAGCTTGTTGGTGGTGGTGATGGTGTTGGTTGGGTATCATCATCAACTCTGTCTTCTCTACGTTCACTTGAAGTCCCGTCTTCGCTGCCTCGCCTCTTCGGTCAACTTGTTAGTTTTTGCCTGTAGATCTTCAAGTTTGTGCGACATTAGACACAAATCATCGGCGAAATCTAAATCTTCTATGATGTTTTCCCCGATCCCGTGTATGTCCATCTTCTCGCTCCTCACGGTTTGCCACATGATCCAGTCGACCACAATCAGGAAGATCATGGGTGATAGTAGGCGGCAGCCTTGTCTTACTCCTGTTTTCACTTCAAAGGCATATTTAGACACTATGATCCAATGTGATTCCATATTGAACATGTTTATTTGATCAACAGTACAGAGGTGATGACCATTTCTGTTACAATCTATTACTTCTTATTCTATCAACCTACGATTTACTAATCGATAAAATTATGCTGATCACTTCTACACTGATTGGTCAAATCAGTTATGAGTATTTTTATTTTAACAGATATCTTATTGGTTAGTTAGTGCAAGTAATCAAGGGACCCTTTGAAACACAATATGCCTAATACATAATCTTTGAATTGTTTAAATTAGCAAACTACAGTAAAATAAACTACCTTTTAGGATGTTTTAATGAAGATAATTTAACAAATATGCAATTAAATTTAAGAATCATAAAGACAGCCTGTTTTACAATTTACATTTAATCGTATAAAGTGTATTTTCGTTTGTATAATCTCAGCATAGTGTATTAGAACAAATAACAAAATGAACAAATATTTAGTGCATCATTCTTCAACGTTTCAATCTTTCTAGGAAGATCTTTTTCTTCAAGAGAGTAGACAGGGATCTTTTTGAGCGACTTTAAAGGCTACCCTAGGAACAATCGAAATAATTAGTTATACTTTTATGTTTGATGGATATCTACCTTTCCAACCGAAATGAAGAAACCTTATTGGTTGTTTCAGTGGTTGCTAAGGTGGCCTTTAAAATCGCACCTTTTTTCACTTGTATATAAATAAGGCGGAACAAAAATAAGGTGGAAAAATTTAGTTCGACTATAAAAAGTACAATGGGATTGTGAGTCGCCAAGGTTGAGCAAAAATAGATTACTAGTTTGGAAAGATGAATATTTGACCATCAAACAATATATAATAAATCATAATAATGATAACCATACAGGTACTTATGATAACAGGTGAAGTATGAACGATAACAAAATGGATTATGTAATATAGAATAGCTCATGGAATGTATATAACTCCGAAAGGAGCGTAAAAATTGATGAAAATAGTAGACCAATAAAGTACTATGCAATAGGATTATTATCTTGACTATTTGAGATAGCCGTGGTTTAGCAGACTAATAATTATACTGGGTGAGTGATTGAAGATGAAATGAAAATGTGGACCACAGTAGAATTCGAACCAGCGACCACGATTAGATTAAAATTGTTGAAATACAACGAGTATTTTTTTGACGTGATTAAGACGATTCAGCGAAGGAACACCGGAAATTATTCAAACATGATTAAATTCGGAATAAATCATTTGAAATAAAATTGTGTTCTACCTTCTCTTCATATTTTTAAAATGTCTAACTTATCGTTTCAAACGTCAGAGAGTTATCCACTACACCATCAAGCCATGATGGCCATTTCTTGTGTGACTGGTATAGTTTTAGTAAAATTGTTTTTATATTAAACCGTCGTTGATTGGACTAAACTGATCGGTCTCTATTAGCATATGGGCTCCTGTGTGGATATTACGTGTGTTCTAATTGTATAGTAATGATGGATAGTGACTAGCAGTGGAATCCAGGATGAGCATCATTGCCATAATTAAAATACAGGTAATATCGGGGCATCCGCATAGGAGCCCATATGCTAATAGAGACCGATCAACTCGGTCTAATCAACGATGGTATAACACAAGCAATAATACTAAAACTATACCCATTACATAAGAAGTGGCTACCATAGCACTGTACATCGAACAAACACTGGTCAGTCAGAGATGGATTATATTTGGAAGTCACAGGTATTCTGATAGAACTGTCGTCTAGAAGATGCTTGCATATGCTGACATCATTGATTGGATAGGGTTAAGTGTAGTTTTCTTTTTACAGAAATGTTCAACAGTGGTTAGATAGATATCTAAAATCTCTCCATGAAATCTTTGACTACGAATACCGAAATATCCAAATAAATCTCTATTTCTAGACTAATTTAATTAACATATTAACAATCAGACCACACTATATCGTAAATTGAGAGAAGTGGGAAATATTGACCATTGGATTCCTACCCGGTGGCTGAATGGTAGTGTGTTGACCACGGAACCTGAAGGTTCTGGGTTCGATTCTTGGAGGGGTGGGTTTACAGATGCTGACTACTGAGGGGTCCCATACTAGGACGAGATAGCTATCCTGTGATCCCAAGCTCTCAATGTTTCTCTAACTGATTTCAGTCCATAATGAATTCCAACCTGATATTAGCAATCATCTCAACATTCATTAGTCAACTTCAATTTATCCATTGGTACTCTTTATCTGATTTATGATAAATCTACTCCACTTTTATCGATTTTTCATAGTACATATTGTTTTGAAGAACGGTAGGTGGGTACATTTTATAACCACTTAAAGATTCAATGTCCAATATATTTGTCGACCATCATCAATCCAATATAAATAAACTTGAGATGGAGTGAAGATTGTGTCATCGATTGATAACTTCAAAACTGATTCTTTTCTTCTGTTGTTTAGGGATATTTAATAAATATTTAGTTAACAATGAATATACTTTAGAGTAAATTAATTACTTTATACTTTCATTGATCAAAATTCTGTCGAACATCAAAACATAGAATTATCAGGGAATGTGAAATGACATAAAAAAAAGCCTTTAAGAGGATGAAAAGAGAAAATCACTTCGTCTCAAAATAGCAAAATTACTGTCAAAAAGTAATCCCACGGTTTTTCACGTGACTGTCACGTGTGATGGTACATCAGGATTGATCTACAACTACTGACAATTTAATGATAAAAAGTGAAGTAGTGGAATGTGTTGATCATTTCACTTACTTGAGAAGTTGTATCAGACGGAACAAGTTGGTTATTGATGAAAGCTTAGGTCATATACAGAAGATCTGTTTGACATTTCCTAATTTGCGTCATCTTTGGAACCAACAGGATTTCTAACTACCTATGAAAAGGTATGTTCACAGTATCACTAACATATAATGGAATCACCTTATGACCGATGTATCGGTTGTACATTGAGTACTAGACAAACCAAAAAAGATGAGTTGATGGATTAAGTTTTGAACCAGCACTGACTGAAGTTTATGGGTCATGTGTTGCACACACTTAGCGACTACCGATTTAGATGTGTAATGGGTGGGAAGAAGGTTAATGTTAGTTCGATTAAAACATGGCACTAGTTCTTGAAGTCCTTGATCGTCAGTGTGATTCATGTAAGGAGATTTAAGTTACTTGATTGAGGTGCTGGAGACGTTAGGAATGAATAATTGGAAATTTGATAATAAGGCTTAAAACCACTAACTAGAGTACAGATGTATACACACCTTATCATCCTTCAAGTCATAATTGCTTACATCAATCTTTATCTAATTACGCCTTCTTCTTTCAAGGAATTGTATCTACTTCAATGTGCTGTTTATTTTTATTCACCTCTTCGCCATATGCTGATATGGTGCATGGTAACTTGAAATGACGCACTTGTGTACCGGACTCTACATCTATCTTTCAATTAGGAAATTTAGCGTTGCAAAATTTACCTGAATGACTTATCAAGGAATATCTTTTTAGCGACTCAACTTTCCTGTTCAGAGTATATTAAAATAATTTTCTTTATAACTAGCAACCACTTATTCCTCTTACAGGATGGCTGTGCATACTATATTATTGTGTAGCTAGTTTATTGTTGAAATTCTAGGCTTATTTGATAAATGTTTAGTAGCATCTTATACAAGCTAACAGGTGAATATAAGATGCACATTATGTAATATTTGGATATCTGAGTGTTACTATATTGTACTGAGTATATTTTGTCCCTGTGAAATGCAGGTTTACTATTGGCTACCTTGAATAAGGTGTGATTACTTCGTTTTTATATTAGTCTGCATTGGAAATGATGGATAACATTTTTTCATGAAGTATCTCAAGGTCATTCAAAGGACAACACCTTGTGTATGCTACTAATTTAACTTTCCCACTTGTTTTCAATAGCCTAATTGTTCACTAGCACTTAATACATTTTTCATTGTTATTTAGTATCGAAGTCTTGTTATTGTGAATAATACAAATGAATATCGTGTCGATGGTGTAATTAGTTTATCGGATGTATTACGTTTCACTGTATTACAACAATTACGTATGACATCATCTCGATTACAACCACCTTCAGTAGCTGAAGTTGTTGATGAATATGATGAATTAAATCGTAATAGAAAGAAAAAAGAAAAATCTTATAGAAATTCAAAAGTTACCAGTACATTAACTAATTGTTCATCTCAATCTATTGTAAAGACTAAAAAAATTAACAAAAAATTAATCAGTTCAAATGATACAACATCTTTACAAGTTACAAATTTGACAAATTATAATTCTATCCTAACTAATACTAATTCAATTACAAAAACACCAATAACAATAACATCAATTATAAAAGATGTTACATCAAGTCAAGAGGATGTTAAAAGTCAAACAAATGATACTATGAACATTATTACATCTAATAATAGTAATAGTAATAATATTACTACTAATAATAATAATCGAATGAATCAAAGAAAAGTCACAGATGATATTGATATCTCATTGGACAATATTAATTTAACTTCAAGTGATAATACTAAGGATTATTGTAATGAAAATATTCTTATATCACAGGTTTTATCAGAAAAGATTACTTGATTATATATATATATATATATATATATATATATATATATATATATATATATAATGTTATAAAAATGATAACAATGAAAAATGAAGAAAATTATTTATGAAATAATTGAATAAATGATTTAGTTACTACATTATGGAATTAATGAATTTATTCAATATATATATATATATATATTCCAGTAGAAAGTGTTACATTTTCATTGTTGTAATTATGTAAATATAATTAATGATCGATTAAAGTAAAAGGTAATATAAGAAACTGAAATAATCATCTAAATAAAAGAATAAATACTAATAATAATAATATCATTGATAATATTATTATTATTACTATTTTCTTAATATAATCGAAAAATTAATTCATTACTAATTATTATCCAATGTTTATTGATATGTAGTGTATACATGGAGATAATATAAAAAATGGTATAAAAAAAAAAAGGGGAAATTGAAAAAAACTGTTTCCATTCATAGAATTGATATCCTCATGATTATTAGTCATCATTAATTACTATTATACTTATTAATAATCTACTCATGTCTTTCATTTTATCTGATTTATTTAATTTATAACTTCATCTTGAATTGTTTCCATTAACTTTTTTTTTTGTACAACTAAACAAACCATACCCACCTCCTCACCTGATGGGCAGGGTTCAATAAAAAAGGGGTATATCGATATTTCTTATTCTCTTCATTTCATTTATAATGCTGGTTAATTATTTCATCTGTTGTTTACTTTATGCTTAATGTTTTTATCTACTGTATGATGCTTCATATGAATTGTTACTCCTTCTTCTTCTTCTTCTTCTTCTTCTTCCTCTTCTTCTTCTTGTATCCTTTTTGTATTGTCGTTTGCTTGTTCATCATTTCAGTTTGTCAATTAATGACTCAACATTGTAGTTGTTATCGTCTGTTGAATAATTCTACTTCTTTGTGAATATTTTCGAGGGGTAATGTGAATGTTTTAAAGCCGTGAAGAATATACTCCAGTATATATATATATATATATATATATAGGAGGTAATCACCTATGTAACGGATAAATGTAAACTGAAGCAACAAACATAATTATTTATACAATTTACTGGTTCATTTCGGTTTTCGGCAGACTTGAGTGCAACAAAAACCAACAACAATTCCTTATTTATTTATCGAGTCAACAAAGAATATCATATAAAGAGTTTGTTTTATTTTCTATATGAATAAATAAGCAAATAAATCAATATGGAATAAGTTATATATCATTATTTGTTATAATCATTTGTTATTCTGTTACTAAGATTATAAACATTCAGAGCATAGTTGTTACGAATGTCCTGGAAAAAGTTAATCATTATAAGAATATACTCTTCAAATATAATCCCAGAAAGCTTATAAGATCAAAACAAGATATGTGTGAATGTTTCACTGTGTAAGCTACAGCTTCCTCAGCAGAATATATGCATTTCTTTATTAACATCAAATATATATACTTTTAATGAATGTAGGTCATTGGTTCGATGATTAATCATGCTTGTTATTATTATAATATATCAACGATTATAATAAGATAGATAGTCAAAGTGTGTGTTTGCATGTATTGTAGAATACGTGTTGTTCACGTGTTCTTATCCAACATTAATTCATACCTTGTCAATAATGGTCACTGTTATTGTAGCTTCGATTGGAACAAATCATCATTAATAATTTTGTCGGATTAATATTTGCTAGACGACAGGTGAGAAGTCTATTCCCTCTTTTCTCTTTACAACATTTCATGTTGTTAAAATATCCAGGATTTCGGAAGTTAATCTCTCTTCATGTGAATGCAAATCTTTTCCTAATATGTCTACATTCTCAGAGTCAATTATATGTCCACTTTCGATTACATGTGCAGCTGCGTTGTTGATCACTTCTCTAAATTATTTAAATCCTCTTGGTTCCTCGATAGATGTTTCATACATAACTCGTGTGTGTTCATTTACCTTAGCTTTCAGGGGTCTACAACATTCTCCAATGTAATTGGCTTCACATTACAAACATTGAATTTTGTAGACATAGTTATTCTGTGTCATCTAAGGAATTGTATCTTTCATTTTGACGATGATCTATTCTACTGAACTTGAAGGTTTAAAAGAGACTTTAATTGCAATTGAGGCGCATACTCTTTCATTCTGTTCAGAAGTACCTTTTTGATATGGTGTTGTCATATATGATGTCTATGACTTTGTTGTCCATTTAGTACAAGTAGTAGTAGTAGTAGTTGCTGTATCTAGTGAACAGAGCGAAAAATATCACAACCGATCCCAATGATTTGAAAATAAGGAATGTTTTCGTAGAAAATGGTTACCCTAAAACGTTCTTGAACAACATTATCAGTCAAACAAATAAAACAGCATCTACTACTACTACTACTTGTAATAAAGGTACAAAGAAATGGTGGGCATCATCCATGACAATGCTATATCCAAACTCTGAAATTATTCGTGTAATCTGACTACATTTTGGCAAACTTAGGAATGAATATTTATTCACTCAGTTTGTGTGTTTCCAATTGCTTTATATTAATGATGTTTCTTGTTCAAGCCGACAGTTTTCTGTCTAGCTAATTCGAGTGTACAAACATTCTGCAGAAAGTGATGTAAAATTGTTTTAGGTTGTAAGCAGCTGATGAGAAACCATGAAATAAAATGGATCTATGATATTCTGCTAAAGATGTTGTTCTTGCTTTATTTAAATTCAAACATCATCACTACATCAGAGTTTCAAAAGGAAGTTCTGTGACTTCAAGGAGAGATTCTGGTGAAATAGTGTGACCAGAGTTAACCAGATGCTCTAGAATCCATCAGTTTAATCCACTTTACATTCTCTTTTAAACAGTCATGTAGGATATTGTTTGGATAGAACACGCTTTCTTCGGTCTATGTAACTAGTTTCAGAAGAGCAGACGGATAAAATGTATCACTGAATTGGTGAACACACATGGAGGTGGCCCGAAGTAGTAATATTTCGGTTACACACCCTCGAATCTATTGTTGACTGAACAGAAGAAACAGAGATTCAGAGGAAAAAAAGATGTTCCCTCGGTGTTGTACACTATCTGTACTCGATTATTTCTGTCACTATATCTCCTCTGAATGAATACAGTATCCAATGCGTACATAGTTTTCTTTGCCAACTGAAACCGTAGCGTAGAGAACAACTTACTGTGATTATTGATACATTCATGAAACTTTGTGACTAATTTGAAAGAGTACAACCGTAAGAAGAAAACCTTAGCATGAATAAGGATGCCGACATGCGTGAAATAAACGTGTTAAAAAAATACTTTTAGACAAGGTGTTAGAGTAAAAGTCGAGTGACTTTGAAGGTCACCCTAGAAACTGCTGAAATAACCAATCAGGTTTAGATATTCCGCCTGGGGAAGTAGTTTTTCATTAAGCAGAGGGACGTATTTTTTTATCTGAAGAGTTGCTAGGGTGGTCTTTAAAGTCGCCCTTAAAAGCCGAGTGAAATTTAAAGGCCACCCTAGCAACGAGTGAAACAACCAATTACATTTCTTTATTTTGTAGAAAAGTACTTTTCTAGGCAAAATATCGAAACCAGATTGCTGTAGTCATAAGTTGCTAGGGTAGCCTTTAAGGTCGCTCTGAAAGACACTGGTTACCGCAGTAATAGTAAACTTGTAAATGACTAGTTAAGATACGCAGCTGAGGTCAAACTTGTCAGACAGAGATAGCTTAGACAGTTAGAAGTAAACGTAGTTTTTCTGTGTTGACTACTATGTTGAATCTCATTCCATTCATTTAGTGTCCCCTAATCAGTGAATGACGGTGGACCTTCGAGACACAGACATTTTGGCAGGTATTCAGCAATCGAGGTAGACGAAATCAGTGTTTCTTCGTGTAGCTCTCAAAGACGTTGTGTGAACAATCAACAGGTGAAAACTAGAAGTGAACTATCCCTGACTTAATCCTCTGCAAGACGTATCCGGTTGTATCAAACAGCGTGTGAATATACACAATCCAAATCTGACAAATTTTCAAATCTTGTAAACTTCAATTTTGAAATGGTGGAGAATATTTGTAGCTCAGGTGGATGGTCTTAGTTGCACTGTTGTCTGACCTCGGTTGCTTAGTCATAGAGTTCTCATAATCTTTCTAGACAACGACATCATTCACAGCACTAACTCCAGTATGAAGTGACCTGTCAATATCTCTCCATGAGCGATTTAGTAGCTTGCCAATACGAATTGGTTTATGACTGGTTGTTTCCCTTGATTGCTATGTCATTGACTGACTGTAGAGGCTTTCCTGTTGGCTGTTTCTCTGCTTCACCTCTGATCTTTCTGTCATTGATCATTTTTCTCATTGATTGACAAATGGTGTCTATGTCTATACATCTATTGATTGCTGACTGACATGAAGGACAAGCTTCTAGAAATTCTCTGGTATGCTTTATGTTTCCTCTCTCCCTCCAACATTTCTACATTGTCAAAACTGAATGCATGTCCATAGTTGTTATCCACGTGCATTGAAATGAGTAATGAAATGTCGTGTGTGACGTTCAGTAGTCAATTGGTGTTCGTGTAGACGAAGAAGAGGGCGACAGTTTGTCCAATGTAGTGTTGGCTATAGTTATTTCAGTTGGTTTTTTTTAATGATATGTGGTTTGTCTTCATTGTTTCTTGCATCCTTCGGTTTGCATGACAGTGCTTGCAGGGAATTTGTTGGTTTGTGAGCTTGCTGATTTGTTTCGATGACTTTGTAGTTGATGATTTACAGGATAGGCATCTTCTGATAAAGTTTCGTGGGTAATCATTCTTCTTTAGGGTGGATATCAAGTAGTTTTCTTCGTTTCTCCGTGAAGTTGTTGTACTGCAGTGTGTTCCCACTCTGTTTTGAAGTTAGTACTGATGATATGGTCTAGAAAGACAGTGGAAGCTCCACGATTGAATAACTTAGTTCAGAGAACACAATGCGACCAAAACTTCAATTGTATTCATCAGTTCACATGTATAT